AGAGGGGCCAATGGTCCGTGGCAAATATTTGGTAGCTGCTTTGCCAAGGGCTCCCTTCCTGGCCAAGAGAGAACTGACAGGGAAACAGCAGTGCTGGCCTCAAGTGGTTAATTGGGAAGGCAGAGGCGCAAGGAAACTCAGTGTTCTCTGCCCCAGTTTTTAAAACATTCCCCACATCCCCAGCGCGCGCAGCGCTCGGGCCACGCGGCGGCACATTAACCCCAGCAGAGCACTTTCCCCTGGACTGCTCAGGATCTAGGAGCCGCAGGAGTTCAGCTGGCGAGGGAAGAGCCCAGTGCTCTCAGAACGAATCTCCGGGAGCCAAAAACCTGCGGCCCACTGGTCTCTGACTGGGAAAAGGCTCTGGAGGGAGGGTCGGGATTTAAGATGATGTCTGCATCAATCCTCCGTCCAGCGACGGGAGAGCGCGTTCTAAGTCCGCGCACCGAGCCATTTAACCCTTGCTGGCCCTACCCGTCCGACTGACTGCTAGCACGGCGCGGGACAGTGACCCCCCCTTTCCAGACTGTCTTCCAAAGTATAGCGCCAGCGTGCAAAGGACTCTGAGCAATGACCAAGGCTTCGCCAAGCCCTTGCCAAAGGCCGAAAGAAATGTTAGCCCGACCCAGCCCCTGCCAGCACCCGGTTAAGAGCAAGCAGCACGCTCAACGCGAGGTGCCAGAACTCACATAACCATTTTCTCCTCGCAGTGCGGGTACTTTGGCTTCATTTCCAGCTTCTTCACGTCGCTGTAGCGGATCTTGGGCCCCTTCCGAGAGCACTTGCACTTGGACCCTGCGGGAGAGCGCGCGGGGACCGCTCAGTTGCCCGGAGGGTCTCCTGCCCCTCCACCGCCTTCTGTACCCACCCACCCACACCCCCCGGGGGCCCAGGATGTCCAGAAGTTGGCCTTTGGGTTCCCCAGGACTGGACGGGACGGTGACAAGGGGCCTCCCGGCACTCACCGTCCACGCGCGAGGCGCACAGCGCCAGGAGCAGCAGGAGCAGCGCGGCCGCCAGGAGCCTCATGCTGGCCTGAGGGGCGCGGTGCGTGAGCAGGGACGCGGGGAGGGCACCGCCCGTCTGAGCGGTGGCCCGGAGATGCCGCCTGCCTAGGCTCTCTGGAGCGCACTCCGCTGGGCTCCCGCGCTGCGCCGTCGGGGGTGCCGGGGCTGTCTGTCGCTGCGCTGCGCTGCGCTCTGCCTCCCTCGCGCTCTCCCCACAGCCTCCCTCCGCCCGCCCTGGCCTCTTTTAAATCCGCTCCTGCCCTCGCGGCGAGCTCATTAATATGCAGAACCACTCGGTGACTCACAGAGATTTCTCAATGTGATGGGGGGAGGAGACCTTCCCAGCCCGCCCGCCCGCTGGGACGGACCGTGATCGCGCGGCCACGCGCACACCCGCCACCCTCCCGCTCTCGCGCCTTGTTCTCCCTCACACACTTGCTCACCCAGGCTGCAGCCCACACACTCCCAGCGCCGGCTCTGCCTTGGGGAGCCCCGACGGTGGGGAAGCTTTCTGACTCCCGTGGGGCCCTTTCTGGCCAGAGGGGCCAATGGTTCTGAGCGGCTGGGAGACCCAGGCCCCGGGCCCAGGGCTCAGAGAAGGCCTGAAAGCGTTTTGGGGCAGGTGCCAAGCATGAGTGCCAGCAGGCCTGACCCCTAGGGTGTGGGCAGTCTTTGTTGGGCCAGCAGCCCTGGTGGCCAGAGCACAACGCCGGGTCTGGACAGGGGTTTGTCATAGATTGTACAGCAGCAAAGCCATTGCCTGCGGTCACTGGAACTGACTCAGAGAATGGGGAGTTTGGGTCACTCCCAGAGGAAGGCTACCTCAAGTGAGTGCGTGGCCTGGTGGCTGTGCGAGCATCTAGGGAGTGGGGAGAGCCAGGGGGACTCCTGATTGTCACACTATTCTCCGAGGCCAGGCAGAGGCCCAGTAGGGAGCGACGGCAATATTAAGCATCTGGATGAAGGTCCTTGCGTGTTCCAGACATTGTGCCAGGCTGTGTGGTGTCCTGGGGTGGGTCTAGCCCTGGCAGCAGGAAGTCCTGCCCAGTACTTGCCAGTGCAAGCGACTTCACCATTCTAAGCCTCCGTTTCCTCATCTGTAAGGTGCAGATGGTCACAGTGCCCGTCACAGGGTGTCTGTGAGAACTGCCGGAGGTCATACATAGTGACCTGTACACAGTGCCAGGAGATGTTACTGGTTGGCATTATTATGATGTATATATTTTTATATATTATTTTGATTCTTACAAATTTATACTTTTCTTCCAAGTTGGTACTTTTTATTTCTTTGTTTGACAGGCATGGAAACAGGCTCAGAGAGAAGAAATCACCTGCCCAAGGTCACAGAGCCAGGAAGCAGGTGAGTAGGCCAGGAGAGTCTGCTGTCTGTGTGACTGTAGAACTGAGACTCCTGTCCCTGGGCCACTCTGCTGCCTGTCGGCCTTCTTTTCTTGGTGCAGTG